CTACTGCTGCTGCTCTTCTTCTGGGCTTTGCCGCCTGTGCCCGGTGGGCGCCACTACCCTCACAGCGCCATGTTGGACGGCTCGTCCCGCTATCGGCTCTTGTGGGCTCACGAGGGCAACACCATCTCCTTTCGCCTGGAGGTGCTCACTCAGGGCTACGTGGGCTTCGGCTTCTCCCCCACAGGAGCCATGGCTTCGGCGGATATCGTGGTGGGTGGACTCGACCGGGGCAAGCCCTATTTGCAGGTGAGCAGCAAGGGGGGGGGGGGAAGAAGAGCAGGGTCGCGAAGGGGCAACCCCCGCTTCCCCCAACCAGCGGTTCCGCCGGGGAGGAAAAGCAAGCCGAAAAGGAAGATCCAGTCGTTCGTCCTAGTCCTTTCCCTGACAGCATTTTGCGTATGTTCAGAGGTACTCCCGTCTCCATCGGAAGATCATTCATAAAGTTTAATACTTTAATTAGACTCAGAGCAGCTAACAAGAGAGGCGGTAGGTCGTCGTTGAAAAATAGTTCCCAGTTTGAGTTTGCTGGCTGGTCCAGCATCCCGTTCAGTACATTTATTCGTCTAGTGCCAATATACAGATTGCCGAGTGGATATGAGGATACGTTTAAACACACGCACATGCAAACCCAGTAAGTTTCCTGTAGAGTCAATAAAAAAGAAATAAGACAATGCAACTGCTACATCGTGGCTGTCATGATGGTTTTCTCTCTTTTTCTGTTATGTTCTTAGCAGGGAGGATTTTGCAATCCTCTGCGAGTTGGCAAAGAGAAAGAGTGAAAGCCATTTTTAACAATAACACCTGACTTATTTTATCATTCCTTTTTATCAGGGGTGCCTTTCAGACTTGCCTAAGTTTGAAGGCAAAGTGACCAGACTGGCAACCTGCCAACTAGCAAAGCCAAGAACGGTTCCTGTCCATTTCCCATATTGACACGCAACAATTGTGTCTCTTTTTATGTTTTTAGTCGGTAAAGATGCATTTCAGCCTTATCTTAGTATTTTGAATTACACACTTCAGTGTTTACTTGAATACATTTCATCTTCATGTTCAAGATTCTCAGAAATAACAGATGAATATACATTTCGTTAATAATGCAATATTTGTCTTTGTGCTTCCAGGTGTTTGCTCAACAGTTCTAAATACTCTTGCTTGCCAAGTCTTTGGTAGGGCACCCAAGGGAAGAGCAAATTAATTGAATAATTTCTGCCTTTCTCATTTAATAGTTAATTAGCATTCAAACTTGTGATAACATTATATGGTAAACACATATGTGGACTGAATTAATTCATAATTTAATCTCTTAGAATCATATAACTGTGGAGTTGGAATTAAGTACAAAAATAATCTAGTCTAACCCTCTTGTTTGTTGGTCATAATATGAAGTACTATGTAATCCCTAAATATTTATTTAAATTCCCCTAAGCAGAAAAGTAGCATACTACAGATGCAACTTCAGACCAATTCCATATGTATGATCTGTGGTTATAGCTCATGTTAGTAGCTAAATTCTCCCAAAATGAGAGAACCTTATTAACACTTAATCTTATCTTACAGGCAGTTTGATGGTTATGTATGTTTCTCGATACTTTTCTCCATGCAGTAATTAAATATTTTTCTAAATATTTGGAGAGAGCTGATTGATTGGATATACTTCCAAAAAGTATTTGATAGAGATTCTCACAAATTCTCACATAAATTGAGTAGCTAAACTGTAAGGAGGTAGAAATACCAGGACAAGCATTTTGTTTGTATCTAGCTATATAATGACAACCATAACTTAGATTGACAGCATTGAGATACATATTAACATTATTGAATCCATTTTTCTATGTTTGGCATCTGAGTATTTATTTACATTTTTAGTGATATTAATGATTCCTAAAAGAACACTGAACAAATAACAAACCAGTAGGTACTAACTTTTTAAAAAGGTAAAGCATTTAAAAAGATCTATGGCATAGATACTGAATTCTAGATCTTGTCAATATTTAACTCTTAAGGCTGTTTCCTTAGAAATGTCATCTAAAAGTCAGATACTGCTACAATGCAGCAGTGAATTTTGGTTTTTCAGTGCATCTATTTCAGTGGTTCAATTCTGCTTTCAATTCTGCTGAAGTGTGGTTGTTCACAATAAACTTCCAGATAACGTTTTCAGAATGCACATTTAATCATAGTTTCTCTTTATTTAAGTGTTTAATCATATTTTCTCTTTAGTTATACATTTTTTTCTATTACTACTCTTAAATCAAGCAACTACTGTTGCTATTGCTATTTATAATCCCATCAATATTTGTGGTGCTTCCATTGTTTCATTAGAATAAAAAAAAGTAGGTCCTTGGCTCAAGGTACTTGGAATCCATATTGATTTTAAAGTAAAATATCTATATATTATTGAGATGACCAATTTATATTTCTGAGATGTAAGTTGCCTTTTTAAATAAAAAGAGATCTGCTAAACAGAAAATTTTACTAATTTTCTAATAGCTTGGGGTTCTTCTCAAGCAAAGACCAGGACAGTGAAAAAATATCTTCCAAGTATGCTAGTAGAAGAAACAGATCAATGTTTTCCTTCAAATATTCATGCTGGTTCTGGAGGAAGAGACTTTTCCTTTCATTGCAGTTAGCACAGAAATATGGCTGTATATGAGGAATTAAGCCAACTGTTCCTTTGCCATCTTCTTGCTCACTTTCTTGTATGTAATTTCTGGCCATCTATGGCCACATAGTGAGTTACTCATACAGGATGAATTTAGCTGATACACATATACAAACACACACAAATGGATATACCCCATCTACATAAACAATCCAGAAAAGGAATCTATTTTCTATATAGAGAGGCATGCAACAAATAATTTCTTATTCTTCAAGTGCTAGATATCAGCAAAGGTTCTGATAAAAGCATAAATAAGACTCTTTTTGGCCTCTTCATGTTGTCACTGTATTTAACCTGAGGCTGTTGCTTTAAAATTTGCTATGATGGAGCGCAACTTAAAAGATTCTTCTGTTACCTCCTTGCAAACAGATCAATCAGGTTGAAGGGTGCAATTATGTTGTAAAGACAGAAGGACAAAAAGGAACTTTCTAAAGGGCTGACACATTCTTCAGAAGTATGGCTGAGAGCAGGATGATGCATTAGGGGCAGGCATTCCAGGAGTACAGAGTGGGGACCCAGCGCTATTTGGGAAGTGTAAAATCCATGTCTAAATAAGAGGAGTCTCTCAAGCATGCTTAATAGATCTATGAATTGTGTAAAAAAGGAAAGCAAAGAGAGCTGAGCTAACAAGAAAATAAAAGTTTATAGAACGATGTCATGTATAATGCCAATTATGAGCACATTTTAAGGTCATTAGGTGGTGCAGACTGCTGAAGCTATTGTGAATATGCTAAAGTATGGGGAACCCCACCCCCCAACAATGCAGTGATGGAAAGATGCCGGATGGATAAATATGGGTGCTGCCTCAGAGAAATTGCTCACTCTGTTCAGGCTTGTAGTTATATTAGGCATGCAATATTGCCAAAGTAAATTTTTTACAGACTACTTGCCACGAGAATGCTCAAGGCAGCTCTAACCCTTGGATTTTAATTTTTTTTACTATTAAAAAGTCTTTGGGCTTTCTTGCAAATTCATTGAGTTTCCATTCTCCAGCTCAATTATTAGCCTCCTCTTTAGTTGTCAAACCCCCTTGCTCCTGCTCTGGAATTGTGCATCTCTAACTTCAGCTCACAGTATCCATTTGCAGAGAGTAATCCTTCTTTATGAATGCCTGTTTTGTGTGATTTATTTAAGAAGGTTGCATTGTAAGGGCCTTCTGTTAAACTCTTACATAAAAATATTCATTTGAGGATTATTTGTGAATAGCTCTTCGTTAGTACATGAAAGCACTGTACTTATCACACTCACTCGTTTGCTGGTACCCAAAATAAAGAATATCTGCTTATTACATATATCCATGCAAATAATTTGGAGATGTTGTTATGGAGTAATCAGATTTTAAAAGGTAAAAAAACCAGTGAATTGAACTTTATGCTGTTTTTCAAACATACTCATGACAAAGAAGTATTTAGCAAAGAAACAAAAAGGAGAAATGTCACAGTGGCACACGTTTTAAATATCACCTGGTGCTTTGTTGTAGACATTGCATGCCTTTGGAAATCTCATTATATCTTTAAGAATCTTTTCTGGCATGTTAGTACAGTATGAAGGGAAGAAAAAAAGATTCTTAAAAACTCAGTGTGTTCCCCAAAGGAATGCAATATCTACCGCCAAGCACCAGCTAAGGCATTACTACTGCTTAAGTATTGCTGTTTTTTCTGCTGGAGCAAGGGTCTTTCTGGAAGAACACTAGTCCAGTCACCATTTGTTATGCTTTCCCACCCATTATGTCTGAAGAACAGATGAGATACAAAGCTTGCATGGGTCATTCTTAATCTGTGAGAGATCTCAACATTAATAGGACATGATATGCTATGGCTGAATTAATTGGAAAAATTGATCTTCAAAAAAAATATGCCTATCATAGTGGGACACTTAAAGGATATTTTCATACCTTGGAAATTATGTATTTAAGCCTGAATTCTTAAAAGTACACATTAGTAATGTAAACTGTTTAGTTTTCGTATAAATATTTCAAATTACAAGTCAGATCACAGATTTTAACACTGGATTGCTTCTGACTATGGGAAAATGTATATATGGTGCCACTTATTCTCACATGTTATAGGCATTAACTTAATGTAGGAATGTGTTTGTATTTACAGCATAGTGAAAAGGATTCACATAGTAAAATTTAGGAATACCTGTGAGTATAATCATCTTCCTACCATGTAGTTGGTATCTTTTTGATTATTGGCATTCCATACGATCTTTTAGTTTCATTGGCAATTGTGCACAAATCTGCTTGTAATCATTGAGACTTTTGGATAATTTTCATCACAGATACAATACTGCAGAATGCTGAAATACTCCTAAAATGTCTGGCATGCCAAATTATACAACTTCAAGAAGTCTTGGGATTTTGGCCCCAGAGGCAGACCCTGTCCTCTGCCTAATTTAAATGCATCCAGTTTGCAAGTTTCTAGATTTGATGAAATTACTCAATCACTCTCTGTTCTTTCTGTTGCCAATTCATTCCAATCCTCTGCATCACTCCTTTATCCACTATATACTGTACATTATTTGTAATATTATTCTGTATGGTAAAATCTTGATTCTCCAGACATCCATGTTCTGGATTTTGGAT